ATATATATATATATATATATATATATATATACATATATATACATATATATGTATATTATACATATATTATAAATATATAATATATATATATATTATATATATATATATATATATATATACTATATTATATATCTATATATATATATGTATGTGTATATGTGCATATATGTGTATGTTGTGTGTGTGTGTGTACGTATATATGTGTACATATGTATTTATATATGTATGTATGTGTGTGCGTATGTATTTATGTATATAATGCATGTGCATGAGCATGTTTATATATATATATATATATATATATATATGAGTATCAGGCGTGCAACATTTCATTAAGTATCAGAATTTCCATATTAAGATTTTCATTTTATCATGAAAGAAAATTCACATTAGTACGAAAACTATAAACATTCAAGAATCATCTTTTAAACATCTAAACGTTTAGAACAACAGCAGTTAATAACAACACAACACAAATAAAGACTTTTAACACACCAAGTTTTAACACTAACATAATTAATAAAAAAGGTTAAATAAACCCTTGCCTTCAACGCGTCACTTAATGGCTCATTTTACACTAATTAAGGTTAAGCGTCAAATAATTAGTGATTATCATAAAAGGACATCAGCTCTGAATTAGTCAAAAGGGATGCGTTTGTTCTTGTTTGTAACATGTTTTCATTTTTACACATAGCAAGAAATATAATAATGTATGTAATAATGGATATTATATCGTATGTGATATCACATTACATTAATACTATTCATATAATTTTATATCTTTATTTAACATTCACCATCATGTTAACTTATTTTATTATTTATTCAAATTATATTATATATATACATATATATATATATACTATATATATATATAATATATATATATATATACGACGAGTTTATATATTAATATAATATATTATTATATATATATATAAATATAAATGAGTATATATATACCCTTATATTATATACATATAGGAGTCATATATATAACATACATATAAATGTATATAATACGTATATATATATATATATAATAATAGGTATAAATATATATACATACATATGTATAGATATATATAAGTATTGAGGAGAATAAGAGTATGTATATTTGTTAAATATATATATATATATTATTATATATATATATATATAATATGTTGTGTTGGTGGTGTGTGTGTGTGTGTATTGGTGTGTGTGTGTGTGGTGGTGTGTGGTGTGTGTGTGGTGGTATGTGTGGTGTGTGGTGGTGTGTGTGTGTCGTTGTGATCTATACAGTATTCACTTTATCAAATTATCTATATATATATATAATGTATATATATATATTATATATTATAATTAAATATAGCTACAATATATATATACATATTATACATATATATATATATATACATTAATCTAAATAATATATATCAGTATATATTTATATATATATATAATATATATGCATATCATATTTATAGATATATTATATATAAATTATTTTATATAGTATGCATTTATATATAAATTATAAATATATATATATATATATAACTATATATATAATAAATATATATATGTATAAAATCTATCTATATATAATGGTATATGTAATAATAGATTAATATATATATATATATATATATATATATATATATATATATATAGAGGAGAGAGAGAGAGAGAGAGAGAGAGAGAGAGAGAGAGAGAGAGAAGAGAGAAGAGGAAGAGATCAAAAGGACTGAGAGAGGGAAAAAGACAGAAGATAGAAACAGCCAAGTAAAGAGACAGAGAGAAAAGAAAGAAATACAAACAACATCTTAAACGATACTAAATGACATAAGGACGAAAAACACACACATCCACCAAGAAGAATAAAACAAATGAAGAACATAATAACATAACAAACCCCCCATAACAATTTATCTTTATATAACAAATATTAAATCTTTTTATATTTTTGAATTTATATTTTAAATTTATATTTTAAAAATTTATCTTTTATATAACAAACAGATATCGGAAACTTTTACCATGACTTCGATGGAAATCAGTTATTCATCTTAACTTTAGGTTCTAATACAAAAGATCAGGTTCAATTTTGTCATGATGACGTTGGTATCAGGCGGAGTGTTCGTAAAATCATTCATGAAAGTAGGTGGTGTTTACACGAGGGAAAAGAACAGCTTAGTATCGAGTGTATTTTGTTTTTGAGTGTACAGCAGGCGAGTTTTGGTGTATGGAGATATGTAGACGAGAGCTCCTAGGGTATGGTATTGGTATATAATGAGCAAAGGAATTTATTGATAGAGTGAAGAGATATTTGTAATGCTTAGTATCGAGTGTATTTTGTTTTTGATTGTATAGCAGGCGAGTGTAATGGAAACATATAGACAAGAGCTTCTAGGGTATGATATTGGTATTTAAACTGATAAGCAAAGGAATTCATTGATAAAGAGATATATTGGTATAGAATGAGCAAAGGAATTCATTGATAAAGTGAAGAGAT